AGATCGTAACCAAATAGTTTATAGCGACAACAGGATACACAACGGTATGTACAAACGGATGGGTACTAGGATGACAACCATGCTACGTCTTGGAGATTTGCAAAACAGTGCGAACACTGTTTAGAAAACCGCAAGTTTGACAGTGGCCAGCGGGACGTAGCTGATGTGGTACTGTGGTAGTTGTGGTGTCAAATAGGACGTAAGAGGCGAACACCAACAGTTCGTATTGGGTACTTAGTCGCATGCCTGTGCAAGTAACTGTTAGCCTGACCTCCAAACGAAACCCAAACACGTTTGTAGTACCATTGTTCATGAGGACTAATGTGTCTCTATCCAGTTTGTGACAGTTCATAATGAAGTCCGTGGAAACACATGTGCATATGTTGTATTCGGACTGCCACTGGACACGGATGACGCCAATCTATGTGTATGTGTATACCGAATGAATTCGACGAAGATATTCATACCATTTTTGTAAGGTAACTTAGTACAGTAAAACGACATTTGAGCAAACCGAAAATAACATTACCAGAACATGAAGAAGGTGAATTTATGACAAACTCTTGTTGATTTCAGGTGTTGCGAATCCAAGGCAAATTGGATCGATGCGAAATTCCGTGGATTGCTCAAAAGAGCGGTTTTCAGGTACCAGAGAAGGCACTATTGCACGCGGAATAGAAGCACCATGAATAAGTTTCCATTCAATTTACTAATCCAGGCCAATAAGGCGCCGTATGTGGTACGTTTGCCTGCGTGCTGAGTAATCTTGCATTTCAGAAGTAGATGTTGTTTGAGCTCCCCGGTGTGGATGCGCTTGATGTGAATGCTGACAAGGTGCCTACCTGTCTATTACCCACTACCTCGTCCATACTGGCTCCAGGAGACAGTTGATCGTCGCTGGAGGGGACGGAGTGACCGTCCTCGTGACGGTGCTAGGCTCAAAGAGTGGTTCCATGCAACCTGTATGGAACGGGCTACGGTCCAGCCACCGCCATGAGTACGTCTGGTGTGCATGATTTCCCAATTAGGCCGGAATGCTTCTGTTCTGCTTCTTGAAGGAGTGTGGGCCGGCTCCGTTGATGAAATGTGGCTCCCATCCACATGCCTCCCGGTCTTATTCCTTCGTTTTACACCGGATATGGGGTGTGTGGGTGGAATTATGGGTGGTGCAGCGCAAACCACCCATAGTCTTCTTTGTAGGCGCAGGCGTCCTGTGACTGTCCAATGGACGTCACAGTGACAGGCAAATCCGGATACGGACGTCGTCAAATCATATATATATATATATATATATATATATATATATATATATATATTCAACACGGCCAATAGTACAATTGGCATAGTGCCACAACGTATGGAAAATACAATAAACATACAAAAATGGAGGGGAAAACAATGTTCCTGGGAATAGTGAGTCACAACAAGCTCGCCATTATGCACGATTTCGTGCCATATCCGAGAGCGTTTCCATCCATCTGTGTTCCAAATCCTTCGCAATCCAGCCAGGGAGCCGAGTGCGCCCGACCACGGCTAACTTTGAAGTTTGTTCCTTCGTGCCCTTGGCCCAAGTCATTAGTTGACCAACAAACTTTCACTTCCAGCCGACTTCTGCGTGCGCGAAGAGGACACGGCGAGGTAAGCGATGAGTAGGCATGCGGAGAACGTGCCCAAGCCACCGAAGTCTGCGCAGAGAAATTATACTGCTCAGTGGCCGGCAAAGTCTGTCTGATCTGAAAATCCTTCGTCGAATGTCTTTATTTCTAGTGTGATGTTCCCATCGTACACCAGCAATGCTCCGAAGGCAGCGGAGATTAAAAGACAGACAGCCTCTCAACATCTTTTGGGCGAACAGGCCGTCTCGCAGTCATAGAGGAGAACCGCTCTCACTGTGGCATTGTAAACTCGGCCCTTCAGAGCTAGACTCAGATCACCTCGGCGCCGGAGATGGCGGAGATTGGCAAAAGCAACCCGAGCTTTGGAGACGCGCAAAGAGACCTCATCCGTTAAACCATTAGCACTGAGGCAGCTTCCGAGGTAAACGAACTTGTCCACCACTTCCAATGAATGACCTAGAAGGGTAAGGTCAGGAGCAGCGCCTAGCCAGTCCTGCAGGGAAATCTCGCATTTCGATGGTGCGAAGGTCATTCCAAACTGGGAGACAGATATCTCCAACCTAAACAGAACATTTTAGGCGGCCTGTGAAGAAGCGCAGATTACGGCGATGTCCTCGCGAAGTCAGTCCCTCGGAAGCAGCTTGACGCCGCTGGGTTCGCAGTACTCCACAGCACTCTCCAAGATTTCGTCTATAGCGAAATTGTACAAGAAGGGAGATGCCGGGAAACCCTGTCTTATGCCACTGGCGATACGAAACGGGAGCCAAAGTCCACCGTACATCCGCACGCGGCCCGACGTTTGACAGCAGATGGCTTGAAGTAAGGTGACATACTTCTCGGGCACTCCCGTTCTCAGTAGACAACTTCAGAGAGCAGCTCTGTCGACTGAGTCAAACGCGGCTCGTATGTCTAAGAAGACAACGATCGTTAGCTGGCCAAATGTTTGACGACGCTCGAGTATTTGGTGGAGTGTAAAGATGTGATCGATGCAACTCCGACCTGAGCGGAACCCAGCTTGCACTTCACGTATGCTCTGTTCGCGTACCAGATTGAGCCTCCTTAGAAGTAGAGCTGCGAGCACCTTGGAAGTAACACAGATGAGACTAATCCCCCTGTGTTTCAAGTAGACAGTTCGGGCACCCTTTCTGACGATGGGCACGATATCCACTAGGCTCCAATCAGATGGGATAACTTCACTGAACCAGATCTCTTGGAGGAAAAAAGGTAACTCCTGAACAAGTGATGGGCCACCATCCTTGAGAAAAACCAGATGGAGTTTATCTGGGCCAGAAGCTTTGTACCGCTTCAAGAGGCGAAGCTCGTGCGCAACTTCAGCCTAAGATGGTCGTGAAGCGTCTACACACCAGGGAGCACTCTGGGCTCCAGAATGGAAACTCAATGTTACTGCTTGCCAATTAAACTGTTGCTCGGCCCAACGCTCGAGTCGGAGTTTTTGACAGTGAATTGACCCACCATTGATAGCGCATAAAAATTCGCTTACACTCAGCCTTTTGTCGCTAGTAAACTGGATCAGGAGGAAAAGCTTGCGGAAATTCCCCGAAGTGGCCGCTTGCTCCATCTCAATGACCCGCTGCGTTCACCAGGCCTCGCGATCTTCCCGGAGAAGCTGTTTGAGCTCAGCGTTAGTAGTCTTGCGCAGTGAATGGTATTTAACACCAGTAGGAATTGCTCCACGGACTTCGAGGAGTTAGAGGGATCGTGCAGAGATCCAGTGCTTGACAGGACTACTGGTGAAGCCACAGATCAGGGTTGCAGAGTTGCACATGGCACCGCGGATGTGTGCCCAGTGTGTTTCAATGTCTATGCATGGGGCAGTCTTCAGCCGTGAGGCCAAGGCATGCTAAAATGAGTGGAAAAGGTTTAGGGTAGAAAGCTTAGCTACGTCAAGCCGTTTTTGGCGACGCTGCTGTGAGCCACAAAAACGTAGCGCAAACTTGGCACACACCAACGCGTGATCCAAAGTGAGATAGGTACTCCAGATTGATTTGTAATTCTGTACGCTACCCCGCCAGCGATAGCTAATAGCGATGTGATCACTTTGTGTCCACGGCTGGCCAGGTGATGATGAGTCTGCAGGTGGCGCGTTGGCGCCAGGATCCCCGAAATCTAGCGCTCAACAGAAAAAGGCCGTGATCGGCGCTAAGTTGAAGTAATCGATCACCGTGGTCCGTTCTGCGAGTGCCATGGCCGTGTTGACCACCGAGTTCCCGTTCGTCAAGTTCAAGTCTACCGACCTGCGCGTTCAAGTCCCCGGCGAGCACCACGATGTCAGTACGGCGCTTTTTACGGAGAAAGTCGGCCAGTTGACCATAGAACTCATCTTTAACTGACTCCGGGATGTAATCTGTGGAAGCGTACGCTGCGGCAATGAATAGACAGCGTCTGCTGGTTTTGCACTTGGACAGTTGCACTAAAGTCTTAAGTCGGATCGCGCATAGTCGACTGTTAACAGGGATCCACTCTAGCAGCGCGGTCTCAGCACGTGTGCTCAACGCAATCCCCACGCCAGCATAATCAGCGGCTTCGGCGGTTGAGTCGCAGATAGGCGCAAAGTGAAAATGCCAGTGGGATTCGCACAGGGTGAAACTAGTCGCAGCGTCATGCTAGAGTCCTGTAAACGGGTCTTGCTGAGACAGCAGACAGCAATGGCCGTAGTTTCTAGAGTGCGAGCAATGACTGCTTGTGATCCAAGCTGCATCAGCGTGCGAACATTTCCGAGACGAAATATACTTATCTGGCAAATTAGACAGTCTAAAAAGGTTACTTCTCTGACATATAGTCACTGGACCATCTGCCAAGTATAACCCTGAAAGTGATGTGCAGAGTGCTATTTAGGTCATGGAGGAAAGTAAAATACAACACCGGGAAATCATCCAGGTTCATGTTGAAGTAACAGTCATATCATTGGAAGGTGATGTGTGGTTTCAAATCATAACAAAGCTCTACAGAAGCATGCAGAATAAATAAAGGTGGAGGAACAAAAAGCACAATTCGTAGAGCAGTAACGAAAAGGTGGTGATGAGTTTACGGGAAAAGGGAGGATTCAAACTACCAACAGGAGCATCTAACTGCACCCATCACTTTCTTGGTACTGGTAAATAGCCACATGACTGAAGCCTGAATAATAGCCAGGAAAAGATCGTTTCAACTGCCTAGAAATATATTCGCTTAAACAGTTCACACGAGAGCCAAATGGACGATGAGAGCCGAGTTGAAGGAGACCAATGTCAAGCCATGATGTATTACTGACACTAAAAACGCATCGTCACCTACTTGAATGAGAACTATTAGCAAGATCGGCCACATTCAAAAGAGGTATCAACACAAAACCACAACAGCGAAACGACGGAGAGACGAGATAACTCACGGATAACCATACAACGCCCATGCGGTGGCCATATCCAGAAGACATATCGAGAAGAAACTGGGCATCATAGCAATTGGGGTGTTGAAGTAGAGCAGCAAAGTACTGCACACGAATATGAGAAGGGTTGGGTGGGAAAAAATCAAATCAACTTCTGAATATGTGGGGAAATGAACAAGCATCAAACAAAGCATCATTCATTACACTTCATAAATTGAAAATGAGTTTCCGGACGTCGCTGGAGCTCGACGAGTCGTCTCGTGAATGAGATAGACGCGTCAATATCGTTCCTACTGCTTTTGAAGTAGTTAAAAGCATCCTACTCTGATGGCATGGTAACTTGCAAGTCACCCAAAGCTACTCAGCTGGGTGATATAGACCATCCTACTTAATGTTATGGCCAATTAAAATTGCCATCAGCAAGCAAATTTACCATAAATCGATGGCAATTTCCTTCCGAAAAGTTAGCATAAAGATGCAGCTGCAAACGAATATGGGCAAGAAGGTCCGCTTACAACGGGTTTCGCATTGAGCAGACAAGTTTGAGTGGAGCGGCGGGAGCGGATTGCTTATGTTCCGACGTGTGATTTCCACAGTGAGAGTGTACGGTATTTGGTCAGCTTAATGTACAAAATAAAACATAACATGAGCACTGTAATGCGGTAGAAACAGTTGCCGAATATTCCGTCGTTAGTAACAGAATGAGGAGAAAGATTAAAAAACACTAGGCACACAATAGAACAGGGTGACTGTGATGGACAGAATGCAGCAGCGTCAATATTGTCCCGATTGCGGTGTCGGAAGGAAAGCATAATGACCGTGTGATCGACCTGGGGACTCCCATCCAAGAAGGATGCAAGCATTAACGTGCGCAAGTCGTTGTGGATTTTGCATGTTATCGCGTAGTTGTCCTACGGATTCACTTGACAGAGAGAGAGAGAGAGTGGGGTACGCGAATAACACACACGGCAGGTGAGCTTAAAGTGTATGGGAAGCCCGGGGGTTTAACGAGTTTAACGAATGTCCAATCCAGAGTCAAATGGCCGATTACGAAACGGCATCGGAATAGCTCAATCGATAGTTCCATCAATTGAGGACTGATGAGAGCTAACAGCATGTTAACGTCCCATAGCCAGCTTTCACACGCATACGTTAAAGACCGACCAGTGGCGTCGAATACTCCATACATGATTTACGGGCTAATATTATAGCGTCTACGTTAGCGATTGAGATGTCACTAAACAGGACGAGGAACGTGGACACGCATGAAGAACGTATGGCGACTTGGTAAGCGGCAGCATCCACTACATATGTCTGTCATGTTAGATATTAGTCACCATTAAATGGGCCCAACGATCTTGTTATATGTGAGAGCAGCTGTTGAAGATTGAACAATTCAACTGTGTTCGATACGTTGCACATCAAGAGTTTGAAACACATACCAAATCATACAGTGTTATGTCACTGGCCTACGCAGAGAAGCTTGCAGCAAAGCGGCTGGCGTCGATTTTAATAGAACGGTGTCAGTAGCATGTGTAGTGATTCGGGCTCCAAGCCCCACTCCCACCTACGTTTGCCAATATAGGATATAGATTACAACCCCTGCAGTTGGATGGCAGCGAAGAATTGATGCACATTGCCGGTGTGGTGCTAGTAACTCACCTTAAGATAAAAAGCTTGAGAAATTGTTGGTGATTGTGCATCTCTGGTGCAATCACTTGGCGCAGCGAGCTCACAAGAGAGCTCCCCTTAGAAGGTTACATGACCCCCTGAGTCGCAGTGTGAGAACTACGAGGTTAAATAGCAACGAATAAGAGAGACAAATAAAAGCGGTCCTTAAGTCCAGACAGAGGAGAACGCGGTCTGTCTCTGTGTGATGCTACTCCTAGAGAATAGTGATTGGAAATAAATGGCCAAAGCACACTAGGTTGGGGTGTATAGCAGTTTAGTTCCCGTTGGTCTAACTCCCACCAAGTCTAGGTGAATGCAATCGGCACACGCAGAACTCTCATCGTTCGCCAGCGAATGGTGGCGTTCTAAATGACTGTCGGCTCACGTCAAACGCGCATGCGAAGTTGAAATCAGGCGGTTTGCTCAAGCTAGTAAAGTAGGCACATTAGATGCGCGGATCTACAAAGATTGTAAGCAGATGGACTAAAAACTGGAACCGATGCGAGCCGGCGACTTCGATTCAGAGAGACTTTGCGTCCAGTGACCCCTGCGGTGGTAGGTGAACGTGCGGATAGACCAAGCAGACAAGGAGATGGAAATGTCAACAATCAGATGACACAGGTGTGCCAGTCAAAGGTAAGAGCGATCTAACCGTGATAGCATGGGGCTGGATCGCCGGCAAACGGTTAGTCTGGAGTGGAAGAAACAGGGTGCAAACTGCCTCTGGAAAATGGAGCAAGGCGATTGGCTCCCGCGACAACAGATGTTGATATGAGCCTACGGTTGATGGAATTTGGCTTGTAGAGAAATTAGCACAAACCCTATGACAGTGTAACATTACATCTAGATGTAAATTACAAATAATAGGCAACGCTGTATTTAGTAGACTTTGATCGAAGCCGAGCAATTATTCTATCTTATGAAGCCTACGTACTGGGCTCCAAGAAACTCGATGCGAACGCTTGTGCGAGAAGGCGGTGCAGCGGACACAAAATGTATGACCGGGGGGAAAGGCGAAGAAATAGATTGCCGTGGTGGACTCCGGGACGCCATGCTAAACTCTGTGATAATTAAGATCATCGGCCTACCGGCGTTGACAAAGATAGCAATGTACCGTGGTGTTCGGATGGGATATGGGCTACAGTGGACATGGAGGTACCCTATGATGACAGATGTAAACCTCATATCAACGGATGCTAATCGAACTTGATGTAAGTTCAATCCGAATCGTGCATATGGTGTCATTCCATGAGGAGTTTCCAGAAGAATGTCTTCAGCGCCACTCCAGAAGGATAGCCAAACTCAAGTCATAGACTGGGCTCCAAACGAAGAGTGACTATCGTCCCTAATGATGTCAAGCCGAATTTGCGTTTCGAAAGCAAAGTACACAACGCCAGAAGAGCATGGTGTGGTTGAGGTAAGTCATAAGTTATGAGAGAAGAAATCATGAAAACGCTGAATAAGAGCTAACATTAAGCTAATGCATGTCGTCTTCCTGAATGGGAGCAAGAGGTGGATTACATCAAGGAGGAGAAAAAATATCCGACCCTTTGCAAAGTGGTTCGGCGTTCATTCGCAAAACGGCAGCAGCAGCAACAAAAGCATAAAACAGACCTACTGCTTCCGATATGGGCTAAATTGTGCGCGTACGTTATGGCATTTCTCCAGCTATATATATATATATATGTATATTTACAAGTCTGAGAACAGACAAATGTGCCATCAGAACCATAGCTGTAATGGTATGCAAAAATGAGAGTTCAAAAAACAAAGAAACAAAAAGCATTTTTGGTAGTTCACAGGCGCCATTTTGCGTTTTTGTTTGTTTAAAATTGAAATTTGGATGAAAGGGAAATGTCAGAACAGCATTGACGCCACTGGTTTCGGCTATGAGCCATAGCCTCCTAAACGTCCAGCCATTTGGAGGCCCCATCACGTGGTCCACAATCTGTAAGACGGACGGATCCTGATGAAGCCAAAAATGCGGTGACATTCTTGATGTTCCACTTCAACTTCATCAGTTGTTCACCCCGGCCTTTTTTCCACTCACACCCAGGAATTGCAAAAGATGCTCGGCGAGGAAGTCGATTGGTTGGCATGAGCAAAACGTGACCAAGCATGCGCAAACGGTGTCCGAGAATAATACCCTGGAGACTGGAATTGTTCATTCCGAGTATTTGGCTTATAACGTCCGAGTTGCTTATGTGGTGTTGCCACCACACACGTGTGATCGTTCGCAAGCAGCGGTTGTTGAGGTGATAGTTGTTTCAGATTTTCTGCACGAACAGGCCAGGTCTCGCAGCAGTACAGCAGGACCACGGGGACAGTGGCACTGTACACTCTGCCTTTGAGCCTTAGACTGATGTCGCGGCGACGCCACAAGTGCCTCAGATTAGTGAATGCAAAGCGGGATTTGACGATTCGCTGAGACACTTCATCCCCAACACCAACACCCGAGATAAATGAAGCGATTCACCGTCAATTGTGAGTGTTGGCACCGGCACTTGCCAAGCTTGGAGCAGGTTTTACATCTGCATGGGGCAAACTACAAAACATAATGAGATGCCTCGGTCGATAAGCGATTCAAAACGTTTTGGATGGCTTGCGGGTCGTGCCCCAGCAAAGCGATGTCACCAGCATAATCAAGGTGTGCAGGTTTGTCACCGGGAGAAGTTCAACGTCACAGCTCTCGGTTCCTTGCAGAGCGCGATGGAGAACATCATCTATGGCAAAGTTGAATAAGAATGGTGAGATCGGGCAAGCTTGGCGTACTCCGCTGGTAACAACAAACGATGAAGAAAGCCTTCCATAAGCTCTAACTTTGCCCGATGTGTGACAATACAGTTCTTTCAGGATGGTGATGAATTTGTCGGGTACACTGCTTCTTAGCAGACAGTTCCAAAGAGAAGTTCTATCTATAGAGTCAAAAGCGGCACGAATGTCCAAAAACACCACTATTGTTGGTCTTCGATGGATGTGACGATGTTCAAGTATTTGAGGAAGCGTGAAGATCTGGTCGATGCAACCTCGACCACTGCGAAAATCGCCTTGTGCCTCGAGGGAAAAACTCTGGAGTAGCTGAGTCTGCGGAGCGATATTGACAAAAAAACTTTAGACGCGACCGATACAAGTGGTATTCACCGGTAGTTGGTACAATCGCTGCGGGAGCCTTTCGTGTAAACCGGAACCACGATGGATTCGCCACAAGGGTTGGGAATCTTCTCATTGACCCACACTTTCGTGAAAAGCGAGAGCAGTTCGCTAATAACTGTATTTCCTCCATCTTTGAATAGGGCCGGAGGAAGGCTGTCAGGGCCTGGGGCTTTGTATCGTTTCAGTCTGGATTTCTCTCCGAATCTCAGCCTCGGTGGGAGGATCTGTGCACACGGGCCATGCACCACAAGATAGCAAAGGGGATGTCAGGGGTAGTTGAGTCGGATAATTCAATTGAAGAGCAAAGTGCTCCGTCCAGCGATCCAGATGTTTGCGTAGATTAGTGATCCTCGTACCGTCTGACGCGCAGATTGTCTCACTGATGGCATGTGATTTGCATCCAGTGGATCTGATGAGGTAAAATGATCTGCGGGTGTTTCCAGAAGCGGCAACAACTTCCATTTCGGTGGACTGATTGGACCACTAGGATTCACAATCGCGGCGAAGACTTGCTTTTAATCGTAGAGAAATATAACGTCGGAGTTCAGTGTGCCAGATACTGACCGGAATGGACCGCCGACGATCAAATAATTCCGACGATGTCGACGAGATCCAACTTTTAGCTCTTGAAGGAACAAGAGCAAAGGTAGACAGGTCCGCAGAAAACAGGGTCTATTGCAAATGCAGCCAATGTTAGCCAAGGTAAGGAGGAGGAGAAGTGAGATTGTCACGGAGTATCCGTTGATATTCTACTTGAGCAGCGGGATCTTGCAATTTGCCAATGTTAAGACGATTTTGTTTGATCTTACGTGAGCCACCGAAGCGCATGTGTACCGTCGCACGATCGGATTCCATGAAAGTTGACCAATAAGATCTGCAGTCTCGAACACTGCCACGTCGCCGGCGGCTTATGGCGATGTGATCAATCTGCGCTAAATGCACTTCAGATTTCGTATAAGTACAAATGTAACTGCAAAGCAGGCTGCTGATGGCGCAGCGTTTCAGTAAGCTGTGAGCAACACATGCACTCCACCTGAGCACTGAAAACTCGTTTCAATGGTGCGGCTCAAATAAATAAATATCGCTCAGATTACATCATTCAAGTGCGCCAGCCACCGGCCCACCGTAGTAAACACCACTGGGTAAAATCGCATGCAACTGAACAGTGGTTGGTGTTTTCTGACCGAAAGGTATTCACAATAGGTTACCTCATTCATGAAAGAACATTGAGTAATAAATGAAGTTTGAGTCAATTAGTGAAATGAATGCTGAAATGGTTTTGGGAGTAGAAACTGGGCAGTTGTGGAGTGGAGAGATAACCAAAGTCAGTTGAATGCAAAAACTCATGATTTGTGCCACTGAATAAGATAACATAGCTACTTGACTGCTGAACTTTTAGTATACTAAACTATCAGTTCGTCACAATCGGGATTAAGCACTTGCATAGAAGAGAAAAAACAACCACACACATTTACAAAAGTGAAGGTGACGTAATCTAAGATCGATGAGGAGGTGGTACCCACCCTTAAATGTTCGCGGGTAGTGTGGTGATAGCTTACCGACTGGGAGGTGCGCCAGAGTCAAGCATATCCCAAAATATCGTTCTCAATTCGGAAAATGCCGTGTGCTGCATGCGGGGAGGGGGGGGGGGAATTATTGAAAGTAGGAAGAAGCATGAACGTGTGAGTGACGTGGAATGAGTAAAAGTTAAAAAAAACAAGACTATGAGACATCAAAAATGCGAATCTGAAGCAGGAAGACGGACTTGGCTTCATCCACTTCTAACCACAGCTGCTGTGTAGCGCTATCAGCGCAAACAATGGAACAATGGTTTATGCCTTTTGCTCGTCATAATCCATTGTTCCCTCGTTAGTGTTGATTGCACTATTACGGTGATATACCGCAGTAGGTGATGAAGTCAAGCCAAATGAAAATCGGTTTTGTGCAGTTGAATGGGCGTTTTGTCAGCGTTTCATACTAGCGCTGTGGATGTAATGGGATATGACATGAGACTAATATTACAAGCAAAGGACAAAAAGTAGACTACGTACACGTGCTAGGCAAGTAAACATTCACGTGTGGTGTGAGTGACTGTGATGGAGTCCATAAGGAAGTGTGATAAATACGGCAATACGGAGCTATGATAAGCTGCAGTGCAAGAAAACAGAAGCACCGATTTTAGGGCGTGTAAAATGGAAGGAGAAATTTGTGATAAATTCTTGTGCACGGAGTGCAAAGGATCATTCAAACCCATTAAAGACAAGCTGTCGCATGTACCGAGTCTTAATAGCAATGAAGCCAACGAGAGACGATCGGAGCAGTCCACTACACCTGCAGATGAGCTTAATGGAACGCATGATCGGTAGAAATTTTTTTTGGAGACTATATAAAACAATAGGTTAGGAACGACACAGGCAGTCACAAACTTATGACGCCTGACATTGAAATGATAGATTTCGCACCTTTTGTAAAAATTTCTCCGACGTATACCGACCGTGACAAATGAAGGGATTAAATTACAGCTAACGCTGGATGAAATGGCTAGAATTTCATCGATCACCACCAAGGAGAGCAAGAAGCATTTATCAAAGTCCGAGGCGTCAGTTCAGAAAGGAGAGAATTTAGCTCCCAACAGCTGGAAGCGTTGAGAATAAAGGAGCAGGACGATGATCAGCACTGGAGCTCGTTGCACTTACCTTGGAGCGTCGAAGATAAGTTAAGGGAACGCTCCTTTTAAAACGCCATGGTCATTACGAAGAGTGGAGGACACTTTTTCGTTCAACCGGGTGAAATGAATTTGATCTTTGGAAGGGTTGCTCATCAGGTTGCACATCACTGGTTCAATACTATGAAAAGACAGCAGACTGGTTGGAAACGACCTGTGAATACTGCGAAAACCGTTCGACAAGTTAACAAAGAGGAGCTATGTAGTATTATATTTCGTATCTAATGCAGATGCCAGCGAATGAGCAAGATATGAGAATGTCGTCAAGCGTGGAACGCTAGGTTTGGAGGCAAAGTGAGAGACAACATCCGTTCGAGTGTTTGTAGAAATCGAAGGGACAAGTAGTCTCTCGAAAACTTTCAGTATCGCAGCAGTACAGGTGATCGGATGAAATCTCTGGGACACCTTTTTAGGCACGGGTGCTATCCTGACAGATCCCACATGTCGGGGATAGTGCCACTAGTTAGACAACGGTTGAAAAGGTCCATTAAAGTCGCGGGGGTGGGGAATCCTCTGTCATTCAAAACGACTGGTAAGAGAGCATCGGGAACATTATATATGGTTGGCGACAACAGGTTCCGGATTTGCCTGTCACTGTGCCCAACATAGGACAGCCATAGTACGCCTGCGCCTACAGAACATGAGTGGCTTGCACTGCACCACCCACAGCTCCATCCACACACCTCATATCCAGTGTAAACCCGAAGGAATAAGACCGGGAGGCATGTGGATGGGAGCCACGTTTCATCAACGGAGCCGGCCCACACTTCTTCACAGGCAAACACAAGCACGCTGTATTTGGGAATCAATCGCACACAAGCCGGTCCCTGGACCGTAGCCCGTTCCACACTGAGTGCATGGGACCGCTCTCTGAGCCTAGCACGGCCACAAAGACCGTGTACCCAGTCCCCTCCAGCAACGACCAACTGTCGCCTGGAGCCAGTATGGACGAGGTAGTGTGTAATAGACAAGTAGGCACCTTGTTAACATTCACATCAAGCGCAGCCACACAGGGGATGTCAAACAACAGCCAATCACTTGAAATCACAATATCAAATAAAACAGAGAAAACACCATGAGGATATGCTGACATAATTCCTCGCTAAATTAGCGTATAAAATAAGTGGGTTATCAACATATCCGCGAAAAATGCAAGATGGCAGAACAAAAGATCAAGGAGACATACAACATAGGATAAAAAATTAACGAAATTAACCACTTTTCGTTTAAGCGACATATACAAGTAAATAGAAGATTATTCAGATAGGCATTAACATGTGACAACATAAGCATTAAGATAATCCAGCAGACCAATTACCTGAAATAAAGAAACTCAGCAACAAAGCACGCGGTTAGTAAATCGAATAGAAGCGCATGCAGAGCACCTACCAACGTTGCACCGGTTCTCCTTACCTCCTCAGCGGCATCCGTTGTCGTTTCGATGCTTATCTCGAGGGGGCTCGCACGTGGCATACTAGGCCTGCCTGACTCAGGCACTTGCTAACGCACCATGCGCTCGACGACGATGGCGCCTTCCGCTTCAGTATCTGTCGACTCTTTCTCCGCATGCATTAGGGCTTTCTCTTGCATCTCGGCTTCGGTTTCCGCACATGTCGGTTCCCCACACTCAGCTGACCAAATAACAGGTGCTTCTGCATGTGCGTCGAATCCATACAGCAAACATGACCGAATCGCCTCACGCGTTTCAGCAAAAGTATGCAGTCCATTGCATACATTCCACTTCGGCTCAACACTTCCGTGTCCGCAACTCTGTCGCAACAACCGATGCGCAGAATCCGTCACAGACACTGTTGATTAAACCGCTCGAGATATCTCACATCCCGTCGGTATATCGTTCACGTTCCGCTGCCGTATAGCAGAACGGATAGCAAGATGGATTTGTACACCATCAGCTTCGTGCTAATCGTAACCTGATGGTTGTTTCACACTCGGTACTCAAGCTTTCCGAATACAGCCGCTGCCTTCGAGACGCGGATACGAAGCTCACTGTATATTTGCTGGCCAGTCGAAACCACACTTCCAAGGTAACAGAAGCGGGAAATGGTTTCGAATACTTTATCATCAATGCTGATTTCCGGCAATATTGAAGATTGCACCTCCGGTGAAGGCTGAAACAGACCGACAGTTTTGCTTGTGTTGATAGTAAGCCCGAAGATAGCCACTGTAGACGCCAGAGCACTAGTTATGTGCGGCAACTCATCCGTGCTGTGTACAAACGCACAGTCGTCACCAAACAGCAACATATAGATAGTTGTCTCACAGACTAGGGTTCTCGCACTGAAACCACGGATGTTCAGCAACCCACCATCAATACTGTGCTCCACACGAACACCGTAAGCACAAGCAGCATCAAACGGACACGACCTCATGGCATGAGGATAAATATTAAACAGGACAGGAGCCTTGCATCACACTAGAGACAACTGCAAAGTCATCCGAGGTCTGTCCACTCAGCTGTAACCTTGCCCGCGTACCACTGTGCAAACATTCACTTAAACTTACAAACTTACTCGGACAACCAAAGTTACCCAACACCAGTAACAATGCCTCGCGATTCACCGTATCAAACATTTTGGTGAAATCAACAAACAGCGAGTATAACGGCTGGTGTCGTTCATTTCACTTCGCTTGCAATTGACGAGCGGGTGAATTGACACTGCCCGCCTGGTTGAATATGAACTTGTCGACGGGACTGTAGTGACGCCTTGCGTTTGCGTGTGGGTTGAAACTAGAAGGCAAGGGACTATTGTAGCAATTCGGGGGACAGCCAAGAAATGAAGGGTTGAAAACAGGGGGGATAAAAGTGAAATTGGAGTGGGACGCTAAGGAGTAAAAAGCACAAAAGGGGATAAGAAGATGTGAAGGCTTGAGCAGTAGCATCCAAACCCCTATCCACCCTGCTCGATATAGCAGATAGGACGCCGTTGGTTATCCTCGGCGACAGCCAGCATCAAGAAATCGTGTGGAGAATTTCGTAGAGTTGTATTGCGCGGGCAAGATACTGTCAGGTTGTGCAAGCTCAGACAGAGAACGATTAAGGTTCTCAACCAAAGCATTTGTTTCAAAAACCTGACCGCAAGGCAGCGGAGTTGTGGCACTGGGCTACAGAGAGTCCGTTTAATGGAGTAAGGAGCCACTCTCACTCACATCCCCAAGCAGGACGGCCAGGAGACTGAGTGTGTCTAATCTCTAATCACTGACCAGTCTGAGTGGCTCTTAAGGTGCAAACACCTCTCAACATAACTCAGTGGATCGCTGAGGCACACAAACCATCGTACCACGTTAAAGTCCAGTCTCATGATTGTATGCAGCTGACAAGGCGACTTTTTTCCCAAGACCAATGCGCGAGGGCCGATGCAGCATGGACTTGTTATTATTGGCGCAATTCATATTGTGGGCAGTTGAACTAGGATACTGGCATGGCGTCCAAACAGGACAGGAGAACGACTCGGATGACCAACCAAATCCTTCGATAAAGTATACACCCGAAAGACAGCGGGACGAGGGCTGAGTCAGTGAACCGACTCATGCGGAATTGTGTGTCCTGGAGCTTAGTAAGAAGAAGGGTGCAACCCAACTCACACCCAGCGGTCGCCATGAAAAGGCGTTCAGGACATGAGCCAACAGCACAATATTAGCAGCAGCGGGTCAACGATCTGTCAAGATCTCGCTACCACAAACCTCAGCGCACTATCGGCTCTCCCGCCGAACATTTTATATATATTAGCAATAAAGCGGAATACCTGTAGCTCGGGTTGTCTGTACAGGTTTAGGTTTGTTCTCCGAGCCGAAGTATTTCGTTGCAGATATTGTGCCACCGGAATCATGGCTGAATAGGAAAACAGTATGAATAAGAAGAAAAAATAAAAAAAACACTTTTT